ACAGTGCATTATGCATTACTGTAATAGTGAGGAAAATGTTTAGTTACCCCCCCAAAAAAAAATCATTAGGAATAAATGTGGTACAGACTGAGTAATAAAATAATGCAGTGTTTTTTCTCTATATATAAAATGCTGTACTGTTATTAATGCATCTAGTTTTTATATAACTTTACCATTTATAAAGTCCTTTCATTTATGTCATTTTCACTTAATTCTCACAACTCTAAATGTGTACTTTTACTACTCCCATAGTTGTTTGCTTTTTGCACTTTATCACAGGTGCCTAAAAATAATAAGGGAAATTGGGAGTTAATTGGAAGAAATGTACAGTGGAAAATAAGTAATGAGCTTGGCTCAAAAGAATCCAGTGATTGATGGGGATTAACTCTGATAAAAATGGTCTGTGCAATATGTTCATGTTCTCTTTGCTCTCTGTCCCTTTCTTTTAGCAGGTGGCTACCCAGGCTACAGCCAAGACTCGTTCTTCCCAGTTTGGTGTAGGCAGCTTTCAGACTCCATCCTCTTTCAGCCCCATGTCCCTCCCTGGTGCTTCCACTGCATCTCCTGGTGCTGCTGCCTACCCGAGTCTCGCCAGTCGTGGATCCAACTTTAGTGAGTTCTGACTGAAAGGAGGGTAACAGGAAAATCACACCACTAAAGAGAAAGGATTTGATAGTTAAAATGGCTTGTTTGTGTCCTGGATGTACTGACCTAATTATGGAAAAATGCAAGGTGACAGGCCATTTGGAATTTAAAACCTACCCACATGAAAAAGACTTTAGCACATATAACAAAAAGTAAGTAAGGTATTATAAATTTAATGACATGCAAATCTAGTCTAAATGAGCAAAGGACTCTTTGGAAAGGGTACATAGAGAAGAAAAATTAATGTGGGACCAGGGTTTGAAGTAGAAGAGGCCTTGATTGGCAGAAGGAGGGGCAGGAGGTATCTAGATAAAATTAATGACTTGCACATAGTTGTGGAATAGTTTCTCCTTTCCATGGAGTTAGCAGATTGAAGTTGTTTCTTCTTCCTCGTGTTTCTAGCTCCTGAGACTGGACAGACTGCAGGACAGTTCCAGACACGAACAGCAGAGGGTGTGGGTGTCTGGCCACAGTGGCAGGGCCAGCAGCCTCACCACCGTTCGAGTTCTAACGAGCAGCACGTTCAGCAGCCGGCAGCACCGCAGCCGGGCCAGCCTGAGGTTTTCCAGGTGAGTCAGTGAAAGACTTCAGAAGACCCGAGCCTGGGAGAGAAAGAGTCAGGGAGGAGAGACAGTAGGAAGCAGGCGTGGACTGAGGTGTTTGACTGAGGTTAGTAAGTGGGAGAAGACAAGAGTGGGGACATAGAGGAGTAAATGTCATTAATTGGAAAGGCTGTGAACTTAAGCGTGCTGCACGGCCGTTAACCGGACTGTAGTTAGTGCTGGGAAGCGCTATGTGAAGGTGTTCTAGAAAGTAATTCCAGCCCATTCGGAGAGAACCATATCCCCACTTCATAGCCGCTTAAGTGTAAACATACTGATTACAGCTATGAAGGTCCATTTACGTAAGTCCTGAGGGGACCGCGAGAGTCAGTGGTGTAATCTAAGGCCGGACAAAGGAGGAGCTCAGCTCAAAACACAGGCTGAAAGAAGGCAAAACAGGTTTTGGTGGAGAATAAATAGGATAAGAGATACCCCATATATATCCATGGGGGCTATATGAAATGTGGCAAGCAGATTTTTCTCCCTTTGAAAACACTGAGAACTAGAGAAGAGGGAAAGTGGAACTGCAGGAGGCAGACAGGAGGCACTAGGGCAAAGGCTGTCATCTAAAGGAGTCGGCGCTCCTGGGAGTGAGGGAGGCTGAGGGGCCTCGGCACAGCGGAAGCCCTCTGGGGGCAGGGGTGGTGCTTCAGGGCACTGCCGGGAAGGAGCTCGATGAATACAGAGGATCAAGGTGTGTGACCCAAGCTTACTCTTTTTCTCTTAGGAGATGCTGTCCATGCTGGGAGACCAGAGCAACAGTTACAACAATGAAGAATTTCCTGATTTAACTATGTTTCCCTCCTTTTCAGAATAGAGCTATTGGGGTGAGGATAAGGGGTGGGGGAGAAAAAAAATCACCATTTGTTTTAAAAAAGCAAATCTTTCTGTAAACAGAATAAAAGTTCCTCTCCCTTCCCTTCCCTCACCCCTAATGTGTACCCCCTTTCCCTTCTGGCCTTCCCCTTGTCTTCCTGCCTCTCTAAGATAACATTTATAGAAGAAATGGAGTCAGTCCTCAAGGCTTTGGGGACCCTTTGAATAATTAAGGCTGGGTGAGGTTAAGAATGCCTTTCCTTATGTCTCCTGACCAGAAATTTGTGCAGAGATGATTTGTGCTAGGGGCAGGGGACAGGTTAGAGAACCTGACATCACTATTTGCCTTGGATACTATGGCTTATTTTTGGAAAAAAATTCTGAATAAGGTGGGGGATAGGAGAAATGTCCTCATGTTTGAGGACCGTGAAACATGGTAGGTATACATGGGGCTTTAGGAAGTGAGCATAGGCTCTTTCTGCTGCCTGTGAGCAATTCCTCTGGAAAGAAACATGAGTAAGGAGGTGAGAGAGAGAGTGTGTGTGTGTGTGTGTGTGTGTGTGTGTGTGAGCACGAGCACATTTGTTTCTGTGTTTGTTTCTTTCTCCCTATTAGGGAGTTATGCAAAATTTGTCCCAGATTTTATCTTTGTCTTTTTCTGTGTGTTTCGAAGAGTCCTAATCAGTTAAATCTTCCAGGTATTTTTCACTTAGTATTGCAGCCAAAGAAGATTTAAATAAATGTCTTTGCTGCACTTATTTCTATGCCCAGCCAATATGCAACTGTAAGCAAATACATAAAGTCTTCTGTTGATGTGGTTGGTCTCTCATGGAACATGTACAGTGTAAAGTGGGCTATTCCTGCTTTTGGTGCTCTCACCTTATAGGGAAGATCTGCAGACGTTACAGAAATAGGCTGGCAAGGTGAACACTTTCAGAAACCCCATACTTGGCCATAAGGATAATGCTGCATTTTTCTGTCAGAATCACATATGATGTGTGTTCTGTAGAGGTTATTTCTGCATGGAAACTCAACTTCTTGGGTTAGCAGTCCCAGTGAAAATCCTCGCTGCTGGAGTTTAAACCAAATACCAAGCCTTCTTGCAAAGTAGCCTCTTTCATCCCATTCTCAAAGTATCCAGGCTGCAAGAAACAGATTTAGGTCTCTTCTGGGCCTATAGTTCTTTCCTCTTTGTTCCCTCTCTAATTTTGAGATTGGATTTTGCGTTACAGTACAAGTGTAATAAATCGAGGTGATAGATGGGACCTGGACTCCCATCCTGACAGGGTCACTTAATAATGAACTATAGCCATATAAATGCGGATACAGGTTACTACTCTCACTCTTTACCTTTCTCAGGTAACAGTCATGTGTATCAGCCTTTTTGTTTGTTTGTTTGGCTCAGGCCAGTATCTGAAGCGCAAGACTGAATTAATAAGGAGAAGACATATTAAATGTAGCCATAGGGGACTGAGGCGCACAAGTGGCCTTGGAGAGGCTGAGAGAATGTCATTAGGTTTCCCTTCCTTTTGTCTCCAGTCTGGTGCCAGGTAGTGGAGTGGAAAAGGAGACAGTTTATTTTTTTATTCTATGTGCACACATACAGTATACATATATATTTATATCACAATTTAAGAAACCAAAAAGTTGAGTTTCCAATGAAATCCTTGTTTTTTTAAATAATCAACTGTTTTTAAATGTGATCAGGACTATAATATTGTACAGTTATTATAGGGCTTTTGGGGAAGGGGAGGGGAGGGAGAAGATGCTCTGGGGGTTTTGTTTCTGCTTTTCCTTCAGGGTTTTATTTTTGATTGTTTTTTTCTTGTTGGCCATTTCTGTACTGCTGGCATCTGTGCTGAGCCTTACAGTGGCAAAAATAATGACATGTAGCAAAGATTTTAAAACAAAATATTTTTTCCTTTTGTAAACTTTGTGTTGTGTGATCTTGATTGTGGTTTTATTATTCCTTCCCAGCTCATAAACAACAAACACCCACAAACTAGTTGAATCTATAGCTTGAGCTCCAAGTATGCAAGCATAAAGCACAGTATGACTATAATTTCAGGCATCAGAAATCATAGGGCTCTGATCACTCAGCATTCCTTGGTTGCCCTCCTGATCCTGACTCATTCTGAGTAAAATCAGCAGGGACATCTGACCGTGGATGGGGAGGTAGGGGATTGCCCACGTCCTTGGGAGAGGGGTGAATTTGGGACTTGGGACCAGGAGGGCACATCTGGACTTCTTCCAGTGTTCTTCTAGTGTTTCCCCTTCTGGATTTAAAGGAGTTAGTAATGGGGAAATTTAAACCATGCAGGTCTAGACCTGGTTTCCCTCTAGGACCATGTGTTTCATTAGGAAATCTTAAAACCGATAGGTGTAAACCCGTGTTCCTGAGAGTCTGTATGAAATCCAGCTAGAAACTGAATCTACATCCCATGTATTACCCTTTTTGCTCCAAAGACTCTTTTTTTCTCTTCCCTCACATCTGTTTATGGAAGAAAATGGGGATGTGGTTTAGGAACTGAACTAGATTCTTATGATCTGTCACATGCCTCGATGTTGAGGGAAGCATTTGGAGAAGCTCACATGATTTGGACCTGGATCAGGGATTTTAATAATTGAGACAGATAATGTTCATCAGGCATCCCACCAGCTGAGAGTTTTAGCAACAAAGAAAAGTCACATGTGAGTTTATCAGTGCTTATGGCATCGATTCAAGTGCTCTCATAAAAAACCAGGGTTACTGTTTTTGGTTACTTTTAGAACTGATTTCTTCTGAATTTTCTGGGTATATTCTCAGCAAAGCCGTGTTAGGCTGGGAAAGCTATTCCCCAGCCTGGGAGCAATGACAACTTTCAGCCAATAAGCTTATAAAGCACAAGTGTTTTTGGAGCCTGTGGTTTCCCTTCCGTACTCCTTTCTAGCCTTTTGTGTTCGTTTCCTCATCCCTGACGTGAGGGTCAGACATAAATTTCAAAATTGAGGTTTCAGAGTTGGAGAGATGAGTAACAACAAGAAAAGGGCAAGAAAAGATGTAATCCTGCAGTATAATAAATGATATAAAGATGTAGGATGAGGGAGATCAGGACTGTGTCTATTTATCCACCAAAGAGAAGGTAAGCCCCAACTTGGGCGATGTGTTTTGAGGTCTTTTTTTTTTTTTGTCTGCCTTTGAGGCAGCCATGTAAAACTAAATACCTAAGAACTCTCCACCGTGGTACACATGCTCCACATGTACACACAGAAACAATGCAAACCCACTGCCTCCTTCCTTCCTCCCTAACCCCCCTCTCAGCATTTCTGTCTGCACTGCCCTCCCCTATCCAAATTTTCCAGCCAGCAGTTGGAGCTGACTTCCGCAATCCTGGTGGAATAAATCCAGCATCCCTAGTCATCCGTCCACATTATCCACACTTCCCTGCCGAGACGAGCCCAGAGAACAGATCCCGTCAGCAGGTAACATTTTCAGTTTCCTAGATCTTTCAGCTTCTCCTATCTGCCAGTTCTCCATTTTTAGGAGTATTAGGGGTATAGTGATTTGGGGATCAAAATGAACTTTACAGGCTCTGGATGAAAACAGTGATGCTTCTTAGGTCAATTCCTGGCCAAATAAAATCTGCCTGGAAATCTTTAGGATTCCGTCCATAATATGTATATATGTATGTATACAAAGTTGTTAGTGAAAGGAAAGAATATAGGACATCTTATATTCTCAAAGAGTGGCCTCTTGGGTTTTTTTATTTGGGGCAAAGGTACCAAAAGAGTTAACTTTTCTAGCAGGGAGGAGGAGCAGCGGTGCAGGGAGGTGGTAGCTCAGTAAACACTTATACACTTTTGAGACATGTCAAAGCCCTTAATACTTAAATGTGCTGCTGGCCGTTTTCCAGTTTGCACAGGTAACAAAAAGACTATGTATTCAAAAATTATGCAAGCTGTATTACCTGCTACGGACAAAATTGTTCTTAAAATGGAGGACATGTAATTAGAAAGCCAGTGAAAAAAGTGAATGAAGCTAAAGCAAACTTCTGAGAAACTGTGTGTTCAGTGTTCGCGGAACATTGCTCCTCTGTCTTACATTCTTCTAACAGACTTTGGTCCTGTGGCTTTTTGTCCTGTGAGGCAGTCACAGAGGTTTGGGGGCGTTTTTTGTTAGAAGAAGAAAGGAAAACTTCCCTGCCCACAGCAGCTGGTTGAAATTAGGACAGTTTCCTGCCGGAGGAGGGAGAAGGAAGAGAAAGGAGGAAGAAATGCATATGAAGACTGAGGAGACCGTAAACATCTCATAGTTAGAGAATAGGATATGCTGTCAATTTCTCCCTTGTCCTCTCTGGCGAGCTCAGAAGTATCAAATTTCAGACAAGAAACAAAAGAATGCCTTGAAAAAGTAATCAGGAAGCGAAACTTATTGGAAATCTCTCCTTTGTGTATTCTGGGGACATTGGAGGAGACAGGTCCTGAGCCCATCCCGATTGTCAATTTTCTACCCCATTTCTGGTTGTCTATGCTGTTCTTTCTGTGTGTGTGTGTGTTCGCGCGCTGAATCTCCCAAAGCAAAATACTGAACCAGACGTATCAGCACTGCATCCAAACCCAGACCCCTCCTGAGTATTGTTTGTTTTATCATATGGAAACCACCCTCAATTCTTTGTTTACCAAAGCCTAGTTTTCCTCTGCCTCATGGTCCACAGGAAGGGATTCTTAACTTTGGGTTCATGAACTCCCCAGAATTATTGTATGTGCATTCATTTTTCTGGTGAGAGGGACTACAGTGGGTTGTGAATTTTTGTTAGCTTCTCATGGGAGACTGTGCTTCCCGAAGGTTAAGAACCACATAGCTGGGTAAAAAGGTTCCAGCTATTTCCTCATGCCAAGTAAGGCTAGGAACCCCTTGGCAAATAGAAGAGTCTTCCCTAATTATCCCCTTCCCCAGGATGTGGGGGTTCAAGGTTCTACTATTGCTGCCTGTGGTGAGCTTCGCTCTATACCCTGAGGAGATACTGGACACCCAATGGGAGCTATGGAAGAAGACCTACAGAAAGCAGTATAACAGCAAGGTGCCTGGGGCCCTCGAGGGAGCACGGTGGGAGGGCTGGAACCTGAGGTCTCCAGTCCCGGCTTCCAGACTCCCTTCTTCAATCCCAGTACCTTAACCACTCCAACCAAGCAAACCTGCCCCTGTTCCCTGTTAACATATACTTTTCATTCCTACCCTCAATTCACCTTCCATCAAGTCCTATCCTTCCTTTTCTTTATAACTGTCTTATATTTCTCTTCTGGGAAGACTTCTCAGATAAATGCTATTAATCCGTAAGCATTTTTGCTATATATCTCTTCAGAGCTTTGCATTCTATTCTTCGTATTTTTACATATTTCTTTTTGCTTGCTCTTAATAATCCCATAGTCACTTCCCCAACTAGATTGTAAACCCTCTATGATTGTAAATCGAATCTCTTCTCCTAAAAACCTGCACATTACATATGTAATTTTGTACACAGACACAGTCTGTGCCAATACTGACTATGCTCTGTTTAGGTGGATGAAATCTCTCGGCGTTTAATTTGGGAAAAAAACCTGAAGCATATTTCCATCCATAATCTTGAGGCCTCTCTTGGTGTCCATACATATGAACTGGCCATGAATCATTTGGGGGACATGGTGAGTTGAGCCTCAGCTTCTGGTCTACCTGCCCTGTTTGCCTTGATTCCCCGCTTATGCCTGGCCTCTTTCTTCTTTGTCCCAGACTAGCGAAGAAGTGGTTCAGAAGATGACTGGACTCAAAGTACCCCCGTCTCATTCCCGCAGTAATGACACCCTCTATATCCCAGACTGGGAAGGCAGAGCCCCAGACTCTGTTGATTATCGAAAGAAGGGATATGTTACTCCTGTCAAAAACCAGGTACTCTCCGTTCTCTTAGGTGTGGATATGTAAGCTGGCATGACCTCTCCCTTTTTCTGTTTCTCTGTGTTTAAGGTAGGAGGGCACCAGGAAGAGAGGGCAAGGAAGTAAGGTACCTCTCCCTATGCTAAGAAAATACAGCCTACTCTGCTATTTAACTTACCCCTATTTTTGTACATTTGGGTTGTTTCTGGTTTTTCTTTCTTTCTTTTTTTTTTACAAATAGTGTTGCTATAAGCACCCATATGCATATATTTTTGTGCACATATACAAGTATTTTTGCAAAATAAATCCTAAAATTGGAATCACTAAGTCACAGAGAATCCTTTCCAGAAAAGGTTTTACAATCTTACATTCTTGCCAGCATGAGAATGTCAGTTTTTCCACGACCTTAATAAATGCTGATTATATCAGGCTGATGAACACCTGATTTAACATTCATTCAACAAATATTATTTTTGGAACCTACTAGATATAGTGCTAGGCAGTAGAGATTCAGGATGACTAAGACATAACCTGTGTCCTCAGGAGATCCTCAATCTTAAAAAATAGAAAGGGCAGGAAACAAAAATGTATAATCCACCTGAGCTAATAATAATAGCTAGTGCTATTTGAGGGATTATTATTGTTACACATAATTCATCTTTTACATGAATTAACTTTTTTAATGCTCATAATCCCATTATGTTATTATTACCCACATTTTACATAAGGAAAGTGAGGTACAGAGAGATTTAGTAATTTACCCAAGGTCACACATCTAGTGGTTTGCAAAGCCAGTACAGTTGGTGCCCGGCTTCTGATGGTTCACCTTTTGATTTTTTGACTTCGTGATGGATGGTGTGAAAGTGATAGGCATTCCATAGAAACTACTTTGAATTTGAATTTTGATCTTTCCCCAAGCTAGCAGTAGACAGTACGATGCATTCTCTTGCTTCTGGGCTGTGGTAGCAAGCTGCTACCACAGTCACATGATCACATGATCACGAGGATAAACAGCCAGTACACTTACAGTCATTCTACTTTTCGCTTTCAGTGCAGTATTCAATAAATTACATGAGATATTCATCACTTTATTATAAAATAGGCTTTGTGTTGGATGATTTTGCCCAATTATAGAATAATATAAGTGTTCTGAGCACATTTAAGGTAGGCTAGGCTAAGCCAGGTTAGGGGTATTAAATGTATTTTTGACTTACTATATTTTCAATTTATGATAAATTTATCAGAGGAAGATGTGTGCTCTGCTCTGCTTTACTGCAGCTAACGGTAACAGTAGTAACAAGTTATCAATAGCAACAATAGCAACAGGACAATGCCACAAAGGTTAAATGAAGGGAAATAGGAAGACTTTGTAGCAAAAGGGACAGGCGCTGGAATTTATAAAATGTATAAAATTTCATTGGGCAGTTAGAAGGAAGAAACAAAAATTGTGAACAGCAATGACTGATAGTTTCTCTGTTGTGCCTCTCAGGGTCAGTGTGGTTCCTGTTGGGCTTTCAGCTCTGTGGGTGCCCTGGAGGGCCAGCTCAAGAAGAAAACTGGCAAACTCTTAAATCTGAGTCCCCAGAACCTGGTGGACTGTGTGTCTGAGAATGACGGCTGCGGAGGGGGCTACATGACCAATGCCTTCCAGTATGTGCAGAAGAACCGGGGCATTGACTCTGAAGATGCCTACCCATATGTGGGACAGGTAAGACTGTCCTGCACAGTCATGCAGTTCTGCAATGGCTCCTTCTTCCCCAGCATGACATTTTGTAATCGAAACAATTGCAGAAGCCATGTTTTCTGTTCCCCTATCTGGCATTCTTGATGGTATAATTTCCCATGGAAAGCCATGAAGATCCACATAGTCTGGGAGAATTTGTGGAGCTTAGGCTACCAAGGTTCCTGGAGAAAAACAGGACAGGTTTATTGTATAGATCTCTGAATAGGTCTCTGTAACTCTCTGCTCAACTCCTACCGCTTCTATCACAAATCTTCAAACCCATCATCCTAATTTCATGAATTACATGGCTTTTTTTATAATATCAGTGTGGGTTTGGGGAACGTTTAAGCAAATTATGTAAGTTAATATGCTAATGTGTATAAAATAAGAAAAAAGTTGCTTCATATTTATTGCAATTTTGGAGATCAACTCATTTCCTCCTATTAGGTCCTTTATTAATAGGAAGATTTTTCTTACTTAAAAGGAAGAAGAGCTGAGGGCTTTTTATATACATAGGGTTGATAGATAATATAATATGGGGCCTTTGCAACAGGAGCCTTTGAAGCAGAGATAGTAAATCTGAGTAATACAGATGATGGCTGTCATGTGCTAAGCCACGTGCTTAGTGCATTTCTCATTTAATCTTCATAACAGCCCTGTAAGGTAGGCTTATCCTCACTTTATAGGTGACGGAATTGACACTTGAGAAGAGAAAATAGTGTATTCAAATTTAAATCACGAGTTACGTAGCAGAGCCAAGATCTGTCAGATCTGCTTACCTGTTGTGAACATTCCCAGGCCTGTCTTCTATGCACATGTGCAAGAATTTCTTCACTAGAATATAATACCTAAGAACAGAATTGTCTGAGTCTTAGGGTACATGCGTCTTCAGCTTTACCAGAGAATGTCAAATTGTTTACCAAAGTATTTGGGAAGATTTATTTTCCCGCCTGTACTTGTATTAGAAATCTCATTAATTCACACCTGCATCAGTATGCTTATCCGGCCATCTGCATATCTTCTTCAGTGAATTGACTGTTTATATCTTTTGCCTGTTTTTAATTAGGTTGTGTTCTCTTTTTTACTGATTTTTAGTCATTTTTAAAAGATATTTGGGTACTAATACTATGTGTGCTGTGGGTCAATTTTTTTCATTCTCTTTGTGATGTCTTTCAACCCAGAAAAGTTCTTAATGTTACTGTAGTAAATTTATTAATTTTTTCTTTGTGATTTTAATTCCTTTTTTGAAATCCAATAGCAAACACATTTTATTTTCATATTTAGTCATATGAAATGATGTCTGTTGCAGTAATATGCTCATTAGTGTAAATGATGGAACAAATCAATTTTGCTGGATACTCAACAACCAACATAGAAACATCACTTCACCACATTCTCATGACATTGACCACATCAAAACAGTACTGTATTTTATCAATATCATACCAGTATTATTCCATATTATGGTTTTTTAGCTGCCAGGGGATACAAGGCAGAGAAATGGAGGTTGTACCTGGAAAATCTTTTAATATGTATACAGTTTTCAGAGCTGTTGGGTCGTAAGTCCATGTTTGAACTCTGGGGCTGCTACTGTAAGATTCAGCATAGTGAAGCTGCTCTAACAGATTAGCCTTTTAATTCTGAATACTTTGGGCTGATGAGTGAGATGACATGGCAAAATAATCTTTTTTTAAATTGTCAAATATCCTTTGACAACTTTTGGTTGTCACTTGATATCAAAAAATTAAATAAATTCCAACAACATATACAAAAAACAAATTCATGTTTACAGTTTTTTCCATATTAATTAATCCAGGCAGCCAACTTAAAGGTTTATCTAATTATATTAAAGAAAAATAAATTAAATACTGTTAGAACTAGTAGTTGATCACTTACCCACTGACAGTTTGCCTCATTTATTCAGTACTATAATAACAAGTTTTTTGAGAGATGGTTTACTAGCTCAGGGACTCTTACTAATTTAAATGAAAATTATATAACATTTGATACCCTATTTTAGAATACAAGGATCAATTGATTTATAACTTCTATTCTCCTGCCCCCTCAAATAATCTCTTCAGCATTTTAGAGCAACATGGAATGATTTTGGTGCCATAATCAATTAAAGTGAAGAATTCGCCATATAAGATATGTGTTCCATTTTTAACATTCTGAATCTTGGACTACTGTTCTCTTTATGTACTTTACCATTTTTAAAAGCAGTTATTTTCCAAAACTGAAAGAATGTCTTCTCATATGAATATGTGAATGAGTGGAAGGAGGTAAAGAAAAACAAAATTTAGAAAAGATCTGATAAGGCAGCAGCCAGATAATACAGTAATTTAATTCTAGCCATAATACAGATTATTTTACTTTAATGTATCATCACATGACATCCTTCTGAGTCCACTCCCTAGATAATTTATCTTACTTGTAGATCTGTGCAGTTTTTGGCACTAGGAGGCATCAAGGGTTTGGATCATATGGCAGAGGACAAATGAATCTTGGGAAATTATTAAGACAGGGGACTACTGTAATCATAGAATATCATCAAATGTTCCCATTATTGTTAATATTTAGATAATGTATTCTTGTAGATGCAATTTTAGGATTTTGAAGGGGTAGTCTGTAGGAAAATGGGTTGCCAAAAAGAATATACCACCTGGACATGGGTTGTCATTAGATTCCATATTTGTGGCTTGGCAATGAAACATATAATCGTTAACTAGACCTGCGAACCATAGTGTTGGAAATTCACAGGCTAAATTGCTAAGTTCTTACTAATTTGTTTTAGTGTCATGTTATGTGCTTTTATCTCTACCTCTCATGAGAGCACAAGGGTCCAGCCAAAACTCTGCCTCATAGCTCCCTGAAGTATGTTCATGGGACCCAGGCCCTCCCTCTAGCTGGACCTTGACCTTGGCCTCCTCCCCACACAGCAGGTGGTGCCTCCCTGCTGCCTATCGAGGCTCACACATACTACATCGCCAGAAGATTACTTGTGTTTCGAAAAAAATCTTATTTCAGAAATATTTCTCTAATCTGAGGTAATAAAAATATTCTCTTTTTAAAGTTTTACAGTGTTTCCTTTCACATTTATGTTTTAAAACCACCTGGGGCTGATTTTTGTGTACAGTATGAGGTATCCACTTTTCACATTCTGTTTTAACAGTTGTCTAAAATGGACAGACTCTCTCCAAAGACTCTAGCTTGCTGCCCCGGACAACACCCAAAACATTGGCACAATTTCTTACTCACCGTTTCATTGCCTGTTGCTTAGCCCTAGTCGTATTTCAACCTTGTTTTTTCCAGGATGAAAGTTGTATGTACAATCCAACAGGCAAGGCAGCTAAGTGCAGAGGGTACAGAGAGATCCCTGAGGGAAACGAAAAAGCCTTAAAGAGGGCAGTGGCCCGAGTGGGACCCATCTCTGTGGCCATTGATGCAAGCCTGACCTCCTTCCAGTTTTACAGTAAAGGTAAGGAGCTGTTCCTACAGAGCACAATCAACTATCTCCTATGATGTGGGCTTGGCAGCTTCTCAAAGTGTATTGAGCATTTGCAGTACTTGTTTCCATATTCAGTCTGAGTCTGCCAGAGAGAAACAGCTGCCACAGCCCAGAGCATCTCTGTTGTAAACCCTCCTGACCGGCATGGGATTCTGCAGAGGGTCTCCTAGAGTGGGAGACCGCACAGGGCAGCCCTTGGATTGAGGAACGCTTCATGTCAATTGTTGGTTTACTAGGTGTGTATTACGATGAAAACTGCAATGGCGCCAATCTGAACCACGCGGTTTTGGCAGTGGGATACGGGATTCAGAAGGGAAACAAGCACTGGATAATTAAAAACAGGTAATGATGGGAACACCACGTTCGTCACTCGATTACCCTCCTAACACTAGACCTCAACTCCAACTTCCCAATATTCCTTTTTTTCCCCTCTCAAATCAAGAGAAAGTTTTCTCAGACCTTTCAGTTCTACCATCCCAATCAAAGGCTATTAATTCTAGCACTTAATGGCCAGACAGCAGTACTAAAAGTATGTGTTGGGCAGCTGCTCACTGCTCAGGGTGCTTAGTCACAGACACAAACAAATGAGCAGATGTCGGTCTTCGGTCATCTCCCAGCCCCCTTAGAAAGCCAGACCTAGCAAACGAGAACATAAAGTAGCACCAAGAACCAGCAGGAGCTTTGGAATTATATACACATATTTTTCTTTCTTTTTTATATCTTATGTGATCGATTTCTTAGGGAGGTTTCCGTCATCAGTCCATCTATAAGCAGTAGGGAACTGTGTCAACAATGGAAAGGTTGCGTATCCCCTTGTAGAACTTTCTGCTCTTCCAGATCCTTAGGGTGGACGTATATAAGAACTGCTCAAAGATTTTGAAGTCTGTGAAGAGAAATGCTTTTCAGAAAGTAGATATGAACAACAACAAACATCAATGTTTCTTTCCCTATTATTGGGAGCAAATAAAAATGCAGGGCACCTTGGATCCCCATTTCTCTTTAGATCCTGTGACTTTGTCAGGGAGCAGACTTACAGGAATTATTCTTTTCCTTTCCTTCTTGGGCAACACCAGCCTGGCATAGCACTGATTAAATTTTCTGTTCTTGGTGCCCTCCAAGGAGCAGGAATCCTAGACTCTGAGGAGTGCCGAAACCAATGCAGCAGTGTAACCAGGTTGGGCTTGCTGCCTGGAGCACTGGCAGGATAGAACGTGAGGCTGGGAGTTGCCTCCAACCTAAAGCAACTTTTTATATCACCTAAGGGCATCTTTCTAAGAAGGTGTTCCTTCTCCCACAGCTTCTGTCTTGTGATCGCCCTTTCTTGACTCCAGTGCAAGCCCTTACCCTGTCCTTTCTTGATCAAGTGTCAAGGGTGGGGCTGCATCCAGGAGAGCTGGGAATAGTAAGGGACACACCTAGGCAGGGTCCCCTGGAAAAAGGTCCAGGTCCAGGTCTTAAGTAACATGTCTTGGGTAACTGGAGAATTTTTTGGTTGGGGGGAAAAAGGACAAAATTCATGAAAACAATTTAGGAAGATACACAGACCAATCTCCTCCCTCCCTCCCTCTCTCTCTCTGTCTCTGTCTAATCTTCCAGTCTCTCCACTTGTCCCCTTAGCAGTCTTACCTGTTCTCAGAGCTTCATTCTTCTCTTCTGTGGGTTTGCTCCCAAACCAAGGTCACCAGTTTCAGCATCTCTTGCCTCTTTCTTATGCTCTAGAATCACATTTGCAAGATTACTCTTCATGAAACACAAAACTGAATTATTTCACTCTCCCACTCAAAAAACTTCAGTGTCTCCCACACTATGAGGAGCCACAGAGCCAACTCTTTAGCCTGGCAGGAAAGATCATGTGGCCTGACCTCCCACTGTACCCTGCCAGGCACCCTATTTTTCAGCTACGTGATCTTAACGCCTGTCCCATGCTTTCCAGTCTCTGTTAACTCATTTCACCCTCCCCTGCTGGCTTCCCATTTCCACAGGTCTGAATTCTATCTGCCTCTGGGCTCAGCTCCAATGCCACCTCTTTTGTTAAGCCTTTTTTCGTCCTCTTAATCAGAAGCAGTCTGTCCTGTAGCACCATGCCTTCTCTCCATTTCTTGACTTTGACCTCTTTAAAGGTGAAAACTGTCTTATTCATTTTGTAAACCATCAGTACCTAGCACAATACTCTGTAAATGTTTTAATGAATAAAGTAAGGGTGCTAAGTGTTTTCCTTCATTGGTTCCTACAGCTGGGGAGAAAACTGGGGGAACAAAGGCTATATCCTCATGGCTCGGAATAAGAACAACGCTTGTGGCATTGCCAACCTGGCCAGCTTCCCCAAGATGTGACTTCAGTCAGCCAACCCCGTCCTGCTCCTCCGTCCCTTCCGCAATGGGGCAGCACACCGATGTACTTTGGGAGGGAACTGGTATGCCTTTCTTGAAGCAGATGCAGAGATCGTCCGTTCAGTTTCCCTCTGTTTGTGCTTCAAGTGACACTCCTACTACTTTTCTTCTCTTCCCCTAGGTCTTTATTTTTCCATTGTGGCCACAGTAGGAATTTCCCTAACAGGTATGCATTCTTGGGCTAAGATATGTAACCACAGCCTGCCCTGACTGTGTTATCCTGGGGCTGACGCTGCGCAAGTAGGAGCTAGAGAGCTTCAGATAGGCTAGATTCTCACTCAGAGACTAGTTAGCTCTACCAGCTCTAGAGGACTAAGGTGACCTGAGTTCTGGTTCCATATTTACTTCTATCTCTTAAAGGTAGAACTTTCTATTTTTTCCACCCCAATTAATAGATCTATTCACAAATGTTTGGTACGAGTTTACAAGATACAGCAAATGTGTTTTCTGTTTCTTTCTTTGCATTTTCAATGTAAACCATATTTATCTTTCATCTATAATTTAATAAATAGCTATTTAGTAAACATTCATCTTGTGTCGGATACTAGCTAGGTGCTGTAGACAAAAAGATGAATAAAAGATGAATAAAATATATTCCTTATATTTGATGTGCTCACAGTTTGTTTGGAGAGACTGATACATCTTAATTCATTTATTTGCTCATTCCTTCAACCAACAATTATCAAGTGCTTACTACTCGGTATTAAGAATTGTACTAAGTTTCAGGGATTAAATGGATATAAAAAGATTTAAATATTTAATTCTATCTGTATGGAGACCAGATCGAGTGACACGTGATCCTGGGTCCTGAGAAACAGCTGAAGGCCATTTCCAGCGTTCTAGAACCCAAAATTTTGCTGTTACCAAAAGAGGAAATTGAAACTCTTTATAATGATTTCCAAGCAGTATTAATTCTGAAGGAACTTAGCTGGCTAATAGTAAATCAGCACATTTACTAATTTTGTTTCATCTATCCCTCCATTTTTTTTCAGCATTTTAAAGCAAATCCCAGATATCACTTTACTCATAAATATCTCACTATAAATCTCTGAGTGAGGATTTTTTTAGTATAACCATCATACCATTAGCACATCTACAAAATTAATAATTATTTCTTAATATAATTTAATATCTAGTCCATTTAAAAATTTCTCCAATTGTTTAAAGGTGTCTTTTTACTGTCAGTTTACTCAAATTAGTATTGAAACAGTTTTACACATTGAATTTGGTTGTTATTAAGTCTACTGTATTTTTTGACAGTCACCTCCCCAACCTGCACTACCCCCAAACAAACATACTTTTTTTTCCTTGTAATTGATTTCATGGAGAAGCCAGGAGATTCCTCAAAAAACTAAAGATAGACTTATGATATGATCCAGCAATCCCACTTCTGGGCTTATATCTAGAGGGAACTCTAATGCAAAAAGACATGTACCCCAATATTCATAGCAGCACTGTATACAATAGCCAAGACATGGAAACAACCTAAATGTCCATTGACAGATGACTGGATAAAGAAGTTGTGATGTATTTATACAGTGGAATACTACTCAGCCATAAAAAAGAATTTAAAATGCCATTTGCAGCAATACAGATGGACCTACAGATCATCATTCTAAGTGAAGCAAACCAGAAAGAGAAAGAAAAATATCATATGATATCACTCATATGTGGAATCTTAAAAAAAAAAGACATGAATGAACTTATTTATAAAACAGAAGTAGACTCACACACATAGAAAACAAACTTATGGTTACCAGGGGGAAAAGAGGATGGGAAGGGATAAATTAGCAGTTCAAGATTTGCAGATACTAACTATTATATAATAAAACAGATAAACAACAAGTTTCTTCTGTATAGCTTAGGGAACTATATTCAATATCTTGCAGTAGCCTATAATGAAAAACAATATGAAAATTAATATATTTATGTTCATGTATGACTGAAGCATTGTTCTGTACACCAGAAATTGACACAACATTGTAAATTGACTATACGTCAATTTTTTAGAGTTTAAAAAAGTATATTCATATTAAAAAAACTTTTCTGCATCAAAATGTCACTCAAGAGAGTGAAAAGACAAGCGACAAAATGGGAGAAAATGTCTGCAAATCATATATTAAGTTAAATATCCAGAAAATATAAAGAACTACAACTCAGCAACAATAGAAAACAAACAACCCAATGCAAAAATAGGCAAAGGACTTGCACAGACATTTCCCCAAAGAAGATACACAAATGGTCAATAAGCACATGAAAGTATGCTTATCACCAGCCTTGGAGAAATACAGATCGAAACCACAGTGAGATACCACTTCACGCCTTTTATGATGGCTATTACAAAAAAGCAGAAAATAGTGTGGGAAGAATGTGGAGAAACAAACTCTGGTACATGCTGATGGGAATGTAAAATGGTGCAATTATTTGTTTGATAGTTCCACATAAAGTTAAACATAGAACTACCATATGATCTAGAATTTCACTCCTAGATATATATCCAGAAGAATTGAAAGCAGGAACTTAAACAGGTACTGGTTCACCAGTGTTCTTAGCACCATTATTCACAACAGCCAAAAGGTAGAAACTACCCAAGTGCTCATCAACAGGTGAATGGGTAAATAAATGTGATATATACAGGAAATGAACTATTATTCAGCTTCAAAAGAGATGAAGTATTGATACATACAATATAGGAGGACAGTGCAAACATGATAAATGAAATAAGCCAAACACAAAAGGACAAATGATTCACTTACATGAAGGATTTAAAATAGACAGATTCACAGAGACAGAAAATAAATAGGCTAGGGCTATTACCAGGGGCTGGGAGGAGGGAGACTGGTGAGTTATTGCTTAGTGGGTACAAATTTTCGGTTTGGAACAAGGAATAATTTCTAAGTGGAGGTTATGAGTGTGTAGGGGCGAGGAGTATTTTGGAATTCTTTGTACTTTCAGCTCAATTCTGCTGTGAACCTAAAACTGCTCTAAAAAGCACAATCTTTTTTTTTAAAATGTCCTGGAAATAGATTGTGGCAATAGTTACACGACATAATGAATGTACTTGATGCCACTCAAGTGTATACTCAAAAATAGTTAAAATGGTGAATTTTATGTTATATATATTTTTTTTTTTACTGCAATTTAAAACAAGGAATCAAAGAGAGGTCTAGTGACTATTTAAAGCTTTATTATCCAGCCATGTGATTTTGAGTTAAACATTGCTCAATGTTTAATAACAATTACTTTGTTGTTATTCTGGTTTCCTCTGCTTCTCTTACAGTCTATATTAGAAAATTCTGTCCCTCTGTCTTTAAAATATATGAATCTGGCCACTTCTTTACATCAGCCACGACCCAGATCCCCAGTGTAGGTCCCCATCATCTCTCCCCTGGATCCTGCAGCAGCCCTACTGCTCTCCTGTTTCCATGCCGCGCTCTGCTCTGCTGCAACCACACTGTAGTCTGTTCTCTGAATAACAGATCATATCACTTCCCTGTGCAAAGCCCTCCCATTATACTTTCATTTACTTAACCTGCTACACACTGTTCTGGGACACTGACAAAAATCCAAGACCTCATGGAGCTTATATTTTAGTGAATTTAGAATATAATACAAAAATTCTTAAGTGGCCTACAAGCATGATCTGGTCCCAGGCTATCTCTCTGACTTCATTTTAGCCCATGGCCCTCGAGAGAGCAGTTCTCTAGACAAAATTAGAATTCTGTTGGAAAGGAAGTAAGGGGTGAATGGCTGTTGTTAAAGAGTGTTCATACAAATATTAAAAGTGCTTACCAATGTCCCGGCCCCCATGAGACAACCCGGGGCCTAATCTGGTTACTGTGTTCCGTTCTAAGACCAGGACTTCTGGCTGGTGTGTATAGTCTTCCTCATCAAGTTTGGATATGGACCCTTGAGGCCTGACAACCTAAAACTTAAGTTATCTATAATCTAATCTATCTAAAAAATGATGCAGAAGAAGCAAAAGGGTAACTGCAATGAAAGTCTAATCCCGGAAAGCAGCAAATGAATGAAAAATGGTACACAGTTGTCACTGATCCATAACAGACATCATACCCAACCAGGCAGAAATATGGAAGACTCCCTCCCTGGTGGTGGAGTCAGTTTCTTGGCCAGCCAATTGTGAACCCCCAGATTTGTTCCCTGGGAAACTTCCTTATTGTCACCATCACCCGTGGCCTTCCTGCTAAAAGATCTTATTTGTCCTTATTCTCCATGGCTATGCCAGAGGTGGGTACAGTGTAAATGTCTTTCTGGAGACTGACTACTCAACTTTAGTTTGGTACAAGTTGGGAACCTAGAAAGGCAATAGACTGCTAGGCTTGAAGATTCTTTGGCAATACAATTTCTACAACAGCTCAGTAGACTTGGCTTAACTTCTTTTGCTCATTCCCATGGCCAAAGAATTTTCCTAGTCACTGTAGCCAGAAGGATGCAAAGCTATGATGGGCTAGCCTTGGGACCTGTGCCCACCTCTGGAGCTAGGGGAAATGTTGCTTCTCCCTTAACCTCCCGAGTATGTGTTGGGGGGTGGGGGGCCCCATTTAAAAATCAGGATGCTATTGCCACAAGAAGGGGAAAAACAAGTAATGTCCGCTTTGAGACATGCTTGAGCTCAGGTTTTTCTCCACCTCCATTGGGAAGTCAGATGTTCACATTGTGACACGTTACTACACTTGCAAAATAATGTCAGTCTCTGGTAGCTTTCCATAAACTCTTTCCTCTCTCAGGAAGCATATTGGAATGTACATACACCAAAGTGATGTTATTACTGAGATAAGCTGAATCTACTCTAATTAATTTTTAAATATCACTTGCAAATTTTGGTACTTTATTATTACTAACGAATTTCTTGTGACTTACCTTGTAGCCGATTGTAACACATCAAGTGTGTTCCAACAGGTGTTACATATTTGTTGGGGGAATGGTCTCATCTTTGGCACCCCAGGAAGCTTTAGTTATGTCTTACTTTGATCTCAGTAAAATTAACCTTCCTTCTGTGAGCACATTGCCGGGTGGCAGAGAGGCATCCAGGATAATGAGGGATGTCTACTGGGATCCAATAATCCAGCAAATAACGCACCGAGCAGGTAATCTATACAGAAAGTATTAGAAATAATGTATATTTTCAGTGAAAACATTCCTACTTTCCCCAGTGATTCAAGAATGCTATTTTCTTTCTCCTGAGAGTATAAACTGGATAATTTTAATATAAAGTTAATTAATTTTCTCGTCTCCTATACATTATTAAGGGCACTCTTCACCTCACCTTTGTGTACTTCTTGGGCAGAAGGGTCAGTAACAAGTGAGCTATTTTAACTATGGAAATAATGTCTGTTATTAAATTCCCAGCACAAAGGTAATCGCTTGGATAAATTAACAGAGAATAAAACTGGCATCAGTATCATTCGAAAATTCAAAGTCTGTTTCTTTCAGCTCAAACCAGATAGTTCCTCAGAGAAACTTGAAGCAGCTAACTTGCAGGGTGCACAAGGCTAAAAGATGATGGCTTTAAAACCTAGAGAAGGCACTAGGCTTCCTCATTTTGTTTTCATTTCCCTTTT